CTCAAAGATCGCATCGATGCCAAGCTCCAGCGATCGACATCCGTCTCACTTGGCTCCGGCCAAGTCAAGCTAAAGTACCTGGACAGCGACAACACATACGTCAGCATTCAATGCGATGACGACGTACAAGAGGCGTTTGAGAACTGGAAAGAGCAGCAAAGCAATCTCAACCCCGGCGGCGGCCTCGGCGAGATTGAACTGTTCTGCCAACGGTAAATTCTGTTATTACACTGCTTTTCGGCATCACGGGGCGCTACTACACCATTTGGGGCATTGATTCAGGCGTTTCTCCACGGCGTGCTCGGCATACACCGCTTGCTCTTTTACTCTCTCTCTTCCCGTTCCATGATATATCCTAGGGGCAAACATACCCTTCTTGCCCCGGCGAAATTTGGGTTTGTGTCTGTATGTGGAGGGAGGCTGGCTTCACAAATACCTCTTTTTTGCTCTTCTCTCTTCTACCGACCGAACGAACGGCACCATCGCAACATCCTACCCTAACACACATTTGCGGGATTCAGAGCTGGTTGGAGGAAATCAGCTGGTTCTGTTCTACGTGCGTTTGTTCTTCCCCACAACAGACGAGCGTGATCTCGTGCTGCGCCTTGTTATACTCTGAAAGACATGTTTTATCTATACCACGAGCTTCCGGTTTTCTTTAGCTGCTTCGTAGGCGGTGCCGGCTCATCTTTTTTCTCTCTTACTTTCTTCGACTTGAAGACTATAGGGTGGGTGGGCTTGGGTTGTGGTATGATTGAATGATGTAATGAATGCTTTCAGTTTCTTGAGAATTTGAACTTTTTTGTCCTTCGACTTTTTGCGTCTTGGTCTTCGGTGTAGGACTAAGTCGTTGTTGGTAACTTTAGATTGTTGTGTTGAGGGGGTGTAGGTGTTTAAATACGATTCATTCAAGTTCTGCAAAATACCCTAACGTATGCGGCTCCTGACTTCCGTTCATCGTCACATCCTGTCTTCTCGAGGTCGTTCCTACCCAAACCGTTGGAGTAAATCTCGAACTCCGCTCCTACTCCGAGCACCGACCGATATCTTGGCACGCCGAACATCTTACCATCCACGCCAACCTAGAAAAAGCCTGAACACCCTGCAGTCTACGTGAACGTCGCGTCACCTACTTTGCACGCTTTTGACTTGATGTAGTCTGCAGACCTGTTCAGCTTTTTTCTTGTATGAGGTGCATCCATTACCTCACCCACGAAACCCCATCTTAACATCAGTATTCACACCCAGCACAATCTCTCCCAATGCCTCCTTCCTACACAATCTCAAACGCGCTCCCCTCAGACGCTTCGGCGATATCCTCCCTCTTCGCACTATCATGGCAATCCCCCTTCTCGCGCCTCCAATTCGGCAACGTGGAACCACGTGACCTGGCCAAGGCAATGACGCCTCGCATCGCGCAGCAGATAGCAGAGAAACGTGTGCTGTTTATGGTTGCGCGTGAGGAGAAAAGTGGGAATGTTGTCAGTGTCGCGCAGTGGACTGTTCCTCCTCCCCCTTCCAAAGGAGAAAAGTTGGAAAGCAAGAACATACGAAAATTAGAGGAGACGGGTCAGGAAAAGGAAGAGAGAAAAGAAAGAGAAGCGTTTGATGAAGAGATATACCTCAACTCTCTCCCCGCATCTTGCAACACCGCTCTCATCGCCCAATTCACAATGCGAGTTCGCGTTCTACGCGAACGTATAGTACAAGGCGCTCCGCATTTTCTTCTTGAAAATTTGGCGACGCATCCAGGGCATCGGGGACAGGGTTTAGCTGCGCGGCTCATACGGCACGTACTTGATATGGCTGATCTGAGGAGTGTGGTTGTTTATCTGGAGACAGGGGAGGAAAATAAGGCGAGGGAGTTGTATGCGAGACTGGGGTTCGAAGAGAAGGGACGAGAGGAGATCGGATTGAAGAATCTTGTGAGTAGAGAGGAGAGCGAGAGGATGGACGTGGGGGATGTGCATACGGTCATTGCGTATGTGAGGGTACCTTGCAGGACGACATAGATTTCATTAAATTCTATAGGTAAGGTCTATGTGCAAGATTGCAACGAGTTACCGCTACTCTTCCGTTCACCCAGTACATGGCACTCAGACCCTTTTGCGCAATCTTCCCGTCACCGTGAGCCGCGCAATAAGAACGCACAATGCAGACACAGTCGCCGTCCCACCAGCATAGAAGATGGCAGGGCGATAAACATCAATGTTCTGACCCGAAGCGACGTCTCGTCTACCGCCAGCGGCCTCTAACAAGTAACCAGCGATTGGTGCGCCCATCAGATACCCCACGCTCCAACCAGTGACTGACATACTCATAGCTACCGCAGCTCGTCCGGGGCCAAAGATACCAGCGACGACCGTTGGCTGGGTGGTAAAGTACGCGCCGTTTGCAACACCGTTCAGGATTGCGAAGAGTACGAGTGGACCGAGGGTGTTTGAGACTGGCCAGATCGCAAGCATGCTTGCGGCGTTGAGCACCATGACGATGACGAAGGTGTTGAGTGGTCCAAACTTGTCGCACAATGGACCTGCAATGAAACGGCCGATGGCATTGCAGGCGTTGAAAGCAGCGACGAGCGCAGCACCAGTACTAGAGCTGAGACCAATCGACTGCGCAAACAATGGTAGATAGTACGGCGGGACGAACAGCGCAAAGACACCAATAGCGCTGGCGACGAACGTAGCGATGAAGGTAAGAGATCGGAACATGGAGAGGTCGACAAAGGGTATGTTCCTCAGCGGCACACGATCCTTGACCATCCACGCAGCCGGAAGACCAATAGCCCAGGTAAGCAGGCCTTGTATGCGGAACGTCCACTCGATCCCGACTTTTTCGTACAGGGCGTTCAATGCAACCGCCATGACGCAGCCGCCTACTCCGCCGCCCAGCTTGATAAGACCGTTTGCGAGACCGAGACGAGCGCTGAAGTACTGCACGGGGACTGTGTTGCAGACCGTCCAGTTGAGCGACATCCCAATGCCGCCGATGACGCTGTACGTGCCGAAGAGACCGGGGAGATTGGACGTGCAGAAGCTTGCTCCGATCAACCCCAAGCCCATGAGGAAGACACCAAGGATGATTGTTGCTCGGCCGCCTATCAACCTCATGAGACGGACAGCTCCAAGTCCGTACAAAGCGCCGCCTGCAAGTCCCAGGGAACCGACGTAGGAGAGTGTAGATGGAGGGACGTCTTTCAGCGTTGAATCGAGCAACGCGGCTTGTAAGACGCCCCAGCAGTTGATGATGGCGTTGTTGCAGAAACTTGTTGTTGAGGAGCCTGCGACTACTATCCATCCGTATCCGCCGTCTGGTACTGCGGTGACGGAGTAGGCTGCGTTGTCTGGTGTTTCGTCATGGATGTGACTCAAAGACGACGGTCTGGGAGTTGGAGTGAAGGTCTTGCTTGATGGGGGTTGTGGAGTCTCATGAAAGCTCGTGAGCTCGATGCGGTCTTCTGTGATGGTAGTAGTAGACATCTTGATGCTGTTATCTTAGAGTCGTAACAGGAGGGCAGACGCGGACAAACTTATGGATGTCTCGCGAAGGGCGCGTTTACACGCCTTAGACGCCAGAGTGACTGGTACTCAATGTAGCCATGCAGGTAAGCGCAGAATGCCATGGGCCGATTTGCCCTCGCTTCTTGCAGAAGGGGTTTTTCCGATGGAAAGGGAAATGAGACCTACGGCGTAGGGACTTCTCAACTACAAGCAACGATGGACTTCCAAATGTGTTCATGTGTGTACCTCTAGGAAATCATTGTACTCATGCGTCTATTGCGCTCCATACCTCCAGAGCATGCATTACTTCTGCTTCTCTCGGGCTTTTGTCGCATCGCACGTATTATGTTCCCGTTACTGCATCTACCTGGTCAATTGCTCAAGGTGGCCGTGAGACATGGAAGGACGGATCACTAGACGACTGCTTTCCGACGCATAATCACGTTGGATGGTAGTCTGTCCCAGATTGCTGAACAACAAAGCGGGGAAGCTGCGGAGGTGCGCTAGTGCGTGATTAGTCATCTAAGCTACCCTGGGTCCACCTGGGCAGGGTCCACGAGCTATCGACTGTCTAGCACTCTGGCGCTTACCACACGCTTTCGAGTCCTACACGTCTCGCGATTGTTCAAACTACAGACCATCAGCATGTGTAGTTGTCTTGTCCGGGCTCTCGGTGCTTCCCAAGCTTTGCAAGCCGCGAGACCAAGTTTCCTCCATCAACTGCCCGGTTTTCCAGGCTAGGCGCGCTCGGTGCCCACTCGCTGAGACGCGACACGCCTCATCCAATATCGCATCCTTGATCTGTCCACGTCATGGCACATGGCACAATCTATAGACAGCATATAGAGTCGTAGCATACCAGATCGTTTGCTAACCCTTCACACCTATTAACACATAACTTATCTACTGCATAACCTACAGTCACAGCACCCACAATGGCAACAGAAGACACCGTCGACCTGAGCGCATCGCACGCGCCCCAGCAAGCATCCCTCGAGGCATTCACCTCCATCCTCGACACCGTGAAAAGCGAACTCCTCAAACTACGACGCGACCATGACAGTAAACCCACTTTGTCCCATCGACTCCCCTCATCCCTCTAACAACCCCTCTAGAGCACGAACCCGAATACTTCCGCGCCGTCTCCCACCTCTCCGACAGCGACCTTACATCCTTCAGCGCCGACGACCTCGAGTCCGTTCGCGTAGCCGTAACAGCATACGGTCTGCATCTCTTCGGCAAAGTCAAACTACCCGCTTTAGACAACGGAAACATTCACATTCGCATCTTTGGGTCTGCCAAGGATGGGACAGACGGAAGTAGTCTTGATGAGAGGGAGTACAGTTTGCATAGTATACATACGGAAGAGGTGGTAAAGGAGGATGGGGACAGGGTTTATAGAGCGGTGTTTGGGAAAGAGGATGAGTTGGAGTGGTTTGAGACTTGATTGGTATACTAGGTATATCTAGATAACGAATTAGGGACTTCGGAAGGCATCTACAAGTCCTGCAGGCCTAAAGCCTCATTCACCTCCAAGATGCGTTCGTGAACCATGTTCAGGGTCATCTTGCCAAACTCCTTGAACGCCTTGTGGTCTATTTGCCCGTTCAGCATCTCAAGCTCGTGGCGGTAGGCTTGGCGAAGACCAAACATCTTTGCAATCTCATTGTTGATGTTCTTCAGATTATCATCTCTGCTTTCTCGTCGCTTGTTTGCCTCACCAAGCCAGTACTCTTGAGCGCCCGGTAAGCGACTGAAGGTTTCGTACGCTGGGATCATTTCGACGTCTGAGCGATATAGGTTGACAACTCGATTGAAGCGAAAATCGTTTTCGGGATTGAAGTACTCTTTGATGGCGATAAAGGCTTTCATAGTGTTGACAAATGTTTGCCATTTCGCGAACAGCGCCTCAATCTTGCTCAATGCCGAAGGGCTAGAGAAATCGTGCTTTTTGGTGATTTTGGCACCAATGCCATCGAGAATTCCAGCGAGCTCAACAAAAGCGGAATTGCCTGCATTTGCGTTCAGCCACTCGGCCTCGCATGCATTGATGGCGGCAGTCAGCTCTCTGATCCTACCAGAGCAGTCTTCTGAGACGGCCTTTTGTGGCCTTTTCGTCTCATGCTCCTTTGGAGCGGCCAGGGGGGCCTCCTGCACTGCGTGCTCTTGACTGATCCTGGCGACTACGTGGTCGTCAACGGGAGAAGAAGTAGTAGGCTCCAGGCTATTGTCGGCGGCAACCTCATCAATTTGCTCAGGGTTTTTGGGGTCTTGAACCTCTGAAATTTGACTGGCGACACCATCACCAGCCGAAAGAGACCTATTGACGGCCATGTCGCCGCCTCGGGGTGCCGTGAAATCGAATGCTCCGGTCCAGTTTTCTGGGTCGAAGCCGGACGGGATGGTAGGTACAGCGACGCTGCTTTGAGAAGGCTTAAAGGTGAAAGCGAAAGCCGATGCTATCGGAGATGTTGGGACAGAGGAGCTACGATGAGAACTGACACCATCTTTGGTGTTTTCGCTTTCATCCTCATCATCGCTTTCATAAGGTTGTGGCGAGCGAGGCGATATAATCTCAGCGTCGTCTTCTCCAGCGTCGTCTGCAGAATCATCTGATAGCTCTTCGTTACCCCCAGCAAGATCCCAGAGCTCGTCGGCGGTATTCGAATCAAGGCCATGGTCTTCAGAGGTGTCTTTAGAAATGTACTGCGTTTCAGTCTGGTCATCCTCAGACTTCTCGTCTGAGCCAACGTCGACGCCACCATCACTATCGTCGGTCTCAATGGGGGAGCAAACATCTTCACCATTTTCGTGGGGATGTGAGGGCTCCGTCAATGCTTTGACTCCTGTCGTCGATTCAGTCTGCCCATTAAGCGCAGCAGTGTGCGCCTGAAGCTGTTGGACGTGATCAAGGAAGAGCTGCCGACCGGTTCGACTGCCCTCAGGGTCGCCTTCAGACGAATTCCAGTACGTTCTCCAATCATCCAAGTCTTCCAGTGCCTCATCTATATCCTCGTTGTATGAAGTGTTGCAGTCTTCGTGCTCGAGCGACGAAGTCCAGATTTCGGTCTCCCAAGATGATGCAAGCGCGACGACGTTCAGGTTCGGCGTATGATTCGGGGATCTCAGTAACTCGCAGATGCCACGGATATGGCTTTGGAAGCCTCGACGGTTGTCTTTGCGCAGCTGTGCCTCTGGTGAGAGGCCTTCTTGGTGGTTGTCCGTAATGAGTATGGCTTCGGTGGCTTGGGTGGCGGAGTCGGATTGAGTACATACGTAGCTGAGGCTGGCTGGAGCGTCTGCAGAATGCTGCCCAGATACGATGCTCTCGTTCTCCAGCATGTCGTAGTTCAATCTGTCCATCTCCCAAACAAACCATTCTTCACCTGTCCAATAGCTTCCATCATCGACTGGCCAAGCCTCGGACCACTTCTTGTCGCACTTGGTGAGGAGTCGCAAGGTTGATCTGACCTCATCGTCATACTTCTTTCCATCAGAGCTTTGCATCGATCGGGTCCAGATGTCGAACTCCCATTGCTTAGCGAAGACCTCGGGCTCGCGTTGCATGATCGCGGCGTTAGGTGAACTGAGCTTCCTGAACCTAAAGAGTTTGGCAACCAGCAGCTTGGTAGCTTCCACGCGGAGGTTTTGGGTTTCCTCGGTCCATACACGCTCTGTGGTGGCTTCCACACTTGGAGCATCGGTTGTCATGTTTGTGTCGGGTGGGCGCATCCCCGCAGTCAGACTGCGGTCGTAGAATCTCTTCCTTGCGCGAAGCGGTTTCGGAATGAAGCCAGGCTTGGGACAGTTTGTTGCATCTGGCTAGGCAGAGGCGGGATCCGTACTGAAAGACGAGTCGTTCAGTTGAGACGACATGGTAGCGCTTCGGAGGTGGAGAGTTGTGGAAAGGTCGCTGAGATGAGCTGCTGGTTGTTTCTGTAGTGAGCCTTTCGCGTGTAGTATTGGGCGAAGAGAAATGGAGAAACGAGGGGCGAGGTATTTGCGTGAATCTAGGCGGAGTTGCAAGTTGCGATGAGCTGTAAGAGGTCGCAGTGGATGAGGTGAAGCCTATTGTTCCAGGCTCAACAATAAGAGCAGGCATAGCGACCGACGAGTGCATGGTGGTGGTATGTGCGCAGTGAAGTGAAAGTGAAAGTAAATACCTGCTTCTGTTTCCCAACATAGCGAGCATGAATGAGGCCATGTAGTCGAGGATACTGGGGGCATGGACCCCTGGACAACGGCTATGAGAACATCATGGGGTGCTTGATAGTAGATACAGAGAAAAGGTGGCGATGTCCGCACATACTACCTTGGGCAATGTGAAGACAAACACTGGTTCCAGTGTCCATAATATTCGACTCGCGACACTACCACGCCCCGCGTCCTGTTCCTTACCATGTTGTCAACCTTGAGGTGCCATGTACAGGATGGATAGCTGGCCATGTCCGAGCAGACGAAGACTAGCCTATGGTGTGCATTCAAGGCTTATGGAGCCTTCCAAGGGTTCATGGAGACCGTTGCTCGAGGTTGGCATGGCCCAGAAGCTGATATCCGGGTCTAGGGAGTTGTCTTGGATGGCGTCCGACATAGGCGCTTGACATCTCGGCCGCAATGTCCGTTAGGCTATAACGACCTGGTCCGCCATGATGGAGGGGCCCTGGCGATTCAGAAGTGACATCTTGGCTCCTCAAAACGGCAGTTCAAAGGTGAAAAGACGAGGCGCGGCGTTGTGAAGAAATGAAGTAGACATCTGCCGGAGGACGTAAGGTTTGGGAAATTAGTGGGCCAGATCGCAGCCAATAGGACGCGTCGGAAGCGCTGTCGCCCCGCCTCCCATGCTTTCTTCACGAGCTTTGCCACTTCCACTATGCTCAACCGATCGCAGCGCGTTTCCAAGCAGCGACAGTCCAAAGGCGTCTGCTTGTGTGCTGAGCAAACAGTCTGGCAACGAATTCTGAAAATGCAGCTAAGGCATCTCATCGATCGATTGCTTCGGCCCGGAGGAAGGCGCCAGGCCGGGATACATTGCGACTAGCAGTTTTCCGAGCTGAACACGACAAACAGATGCAAACAACTCATCCTCGTCATACCAGTTCTTCTTGAGGTACTATCGGTTGTCGCGATCGTCGCCGCAGTTCTAATCCTTCGCGGTCGCCACAATCCTCACGATCGAGCATCTGGACCAGTCTGGAACGTTACACCCGGCGCGCCCCTCTGACAGCCCTTAGCTCCCGCAGTGTATCACACCTCCGCATAACACTCTGCGCGACCTCTGCTTTCAATGCAGGGCAGTAATTCGACATACAGAAGTCTCGATGCATCCCATGGGCGGCCAGCGCGTTGCCTTCTTCCCGAAGGCAGATGCGGCCGTCCTCGCATCGAGGCATGCTGCGCCGGCATCGTCCGAGCGCCCGACCACCACCGCGCCAATACTTGATCTTGAGAATGCCGACAAACCCCTTGAGCCATGGATTGCGGAACAAGTCACGTCTGTGTATCCCAACGATGACGACATCTGGACGCCAGCACCAATACCTGCCAAAACACTATGTCCACCTCAGTGCTCTGCGGATCGCTATCTCTTCCCAGTCTTGACGCGGAACGAGAGGCTAAGGTTGACGTTGCTCTACTACTATACTCGCGGGGCCCTTGAAGATGTAGAGTTGATGTCTCGCCTGCAAGAGAAGGTCCATCTCGCGCATGAGACAGTAGGATGGGAGTTTGTTATTGCTGGTCTTCTCAACCACAGCACTTATACTCGCATGGTCACTGTGAACCTCCCTCTTGCGATATTACCCCGTCGCGAGAGCACTTGCGCCCACACCATCAATCAACCACCAGGTGTAAGTGTTAATCATTGCTGCCAGGGTCACTACTAACAGCTATAGACTGTCTTTGCGCTGCAGAACATGGCCAAAGATTGGCGCTTCGAGAAGTCACCGCATGTCGAGCAGGGCGGTTTGCGTGCGTATGCCGGTGTACCGTTGAGATTTGATACTGAATTCGGAGAGCACGTGGCTTTTGGCTCCCTTTGTGTCGCTTCTAATTCCCCACAAGAGCCTCTCTCGCCATTAGTACAACAGTCTCTTGCAAGGCTGGCTGATTGGATTGTTATGGACATAGTGCACAGTGCAAGAGCTCGCCGTCAGAAGGAACGTAGGCGGATGCTGGAACTGCTCTCCGAAGCTCAGCAGCAGTGCGACAACCACCACAACATGGAGGAAGTGATCCCCAGAATGCTCGAGGATGTTTATCTCAATACGCGAGTGAGCATTTATCAGACCACGGACAGCCACATAACCCTTCCTGGTGGTACGAGCTTTCGCACATCGGAATTGGAGCAGGGCCTCTGGGAAGATACCGCTTGTAGGTGATTGTGAATGGTACGAGCGTGATGCGTACGCTAACTCTCGCAGACTTTGATTACGCCATCGAGAATCTCAATCATTTGGATATGACTGCGCCCCGGCCTGTACGGGCCATCGCGGCACAATGTACCAGTCAGCGTGCGGCAATGTTTCTCGTAGTAGCCAGTAACGACTTCAAGATGGTCTTTGATGATATGGATTCTTGGTTCGTACATATGTGTGCGGTAAGCAATGGTAGATTCGTTCTGGGGGCTCTTGCTGATACTCTGTGACATTTAGACAATACTATGTCGGTATTGGCAAGGCCGCGCACTTCAGGAGGCGCTCAGCGCTAAGGAAACGTTCCTTCGCGGCATTACGCATCAGCTTCGAACTCCTATACATGGCATTCTTGGCTCTGTTGAGCTTCTGACTGAGGAGCTGAAATCTCGAAACGTGGTCCCTTCGACGGCTGCCTCGTCACCCACTGCCAGCCCAGACATCGAGCAATTGGACCCATACACTTATATCAAGACCATCAAGACTTCGGCAAGAGAGCTGATCTCAACGGTGAACAGCCTCATCAAGTTGAATCAGTGGGCAGACATTGCACAGGCAGAACGCGTTCTCACCATGCATACAGTCTCTGAGATTGAAGATGCTTTGCTGAAGGAAACCCTACTAGGACTATCGGACGACCTATCCACGCGACCCTCGATTATAATACAACATCATCTACCACCAAGCTGCGACTTGATTGCTATCGACAAGCGAGTATTCCTGGATTGCATCCAGCCGCTCATGGTCAATGCTGCTCAAAATGCCGCTGGCGGTATGGTAGCAGTGACTCTGTCAGTCACGGAGGGTTGCCAGTCTCTCGTCGTCGATGTCGAACACAGTGGGCGTAAGACACCCAAAGGGAATTACGATCGCGTGTTTGACGCACACGAACAGATAGATCTCAGTGGTACCGAGTCTACTTTGGGTTTGACGTTGGCGAGCAAAGCGGCGACGCTCTTAGGTGGCGAGATCACAATGGTCACTTCGCCCCATGGTGTAGGCTCGCATATCAGAGCGATGTTCAATGAGCCCGTCTGCGCAAGCTCATTACCTGCGTCTCGTGCAGTGAAGGATAGGTTCAATGAGCTTCCGCAAAGCTTCCATCACCTGACGTCCAAATCAGCAACGTCGTCTCTCGGCAACTACTTCACCCAGTATCTTTTAAGTGCTGGCTGGACATCGTCAAGCACATCGAAGGGCGCTTTCGTAGTCGTCGACTATACACCGAATCTGGCGGAGCTCTACCGACACACATCGAACATCGATGCCGACCAAGTTGCTATATGTCTCGTTCCAGAATGCGCATGCTTTCTCGACTTCCATACGGAGCGCGTTCGGCGACAGGGAAATGTTGTATACGTTCAAGGACCATTCTTGTCGGAAACATTTGGACAAGCGTTGAAGCACGCGGATGCAATCTCTGCCGAATTCCGCGCCGCTTCTCCGGAGACGGGGCTGTGTGCGACTGGCGGGGTCGTCATCGAACCAGTCAATCAAGATCCTGCGCCCGACTTGAACGAGCGCCCCAAACTCCCATCCGAGCGAGGTTCAATCTTTCCCGCCAAGCTTCAGAATGAACTAGTCCAGTCAGTGCGGACCTTGCGCATCCAAACCAAACCTCCACCGTCCGCGAAGGATATCTCAACATCGAGCAAACCCTTGACACTCCTTGTTGATGACAACGCTGTCAATCTTCGTCTATTGGAGATGTACTGCAGTCGTCGTGGTATCCCGTTTCGGAGTGCAAAGGATGGGCAGCAGGCAGTCAATATCTTTTCCGAAGCTCTTCTACCGAAGTACGACCCACTGCTACGACAAAATCTGCCCGTCCAACCAGTCGGACTTATCCTCATGGATCTTCAGATGCCGGTATGCGACGGTATCGATGCAACACGACAGATCCGGCGATTGGAGAAGCAGCATGGGTATGAACGGAGTGTCTTGTTCATCGTCACTGGTCAGGACTCTTCGAATGATCGCAAGGCCGCAGACGATGCTGGCGCAGACGAGTTCCTGACTAAGCCGGTAGGACCCAAGGTTCTTGACCAATGGGTAAAGAAGTGGTATCCTGATATCGAAATATGAAGGATCGACTATCTATTCGCGCGCTGACGAACCTTTGAGTTCTCATACTCATCATCCGAGGATCCGTGCATAGCATATCACGAGCTGCCATACGTCACAGCTGTGCCGACAGCTACATCCGCACCGGAAGTCACTCGTATAGGCAACCTAAGCAAAATGATGCAGTAGTTTCCAGGGCCGCTACGGTCGGGATGTCGTATTGTCTGCGCATTGTCGAGCGCCTTGACCAAAGTCGCCTGTGTGGTCAAGAAGATCGATAGGCGCACGAGTTGGGTCAGCTTCCGGACACGCAGCGTTTTGTCATCACAAGCTAGCGAGACGTGATATGGCTGTTGATTGGTAGTGCCATCAGGCGATGACAGCTTTCGGGTCGCATCAGACGCCGACTGTACGCTTGCTATGACTTGATTGTACTTTGAAGGTTGAGGCATGCAGCATCCCAAGTATGATGCAATTGTCAGAGGAGGACTGTACGTATGTAGTAGATTGCGCGACGCATTTCGTCATCACCGATCAGGCCCGCTGACGCCAAGTGATTATGTCATCCACATGTGAAACCAGATGCCGCAGCATATGTCCACGCCAGTAACACCCATATACCCTACCTCAACCATTATGTATTTTGGTCCATCTTAAAACCCATCGTTCATGCTGTCTCCAAGATTGCCGTCGACAGTTTGACAATACCTACCTGCATTGGCCCGTCTGCCCGCAGTTTAGGCGCCAGCCTCCCTAACTCTTCTCAAAGATGGCGCTATCATGGCTATCCTACTCATGCATAGCCATACTCCTCGCAACCGTATACATCAGAAAACGACTCAGCGTCCGCACATCCCAAATCGAGCGCGATGCAGAAGCCGAGAAACCTGACCGTCTCAGACTCGACGATGGCCTAACAGCATCTGGACGGCAACTGAAAGCCAAGCTTGTCGCAGCCATTCCCCACATCATCATCACGCCAGACAATGCAACGGAATTCGGAAAGTCAATGAACGCGTATTGGGACCAGAAAGCGTGTGAGGTGCCGCCTGCATGCGTCGTGCGACCCCGCAATGTGTGGGAGCTAGCGCAAGCGGTCAAGATTCTCAAACGCGAGTTCGATTTGAGGGTTGAGCGAGCGAAGGAAACGAGAGAAGAGGTGGAGTCGATTTTTGCTATTCGGGGTGGAGGTCATTCTGCTGCTGCTGGCGCGTCGAGCATCAAAGGTGGGGTTCTCATCGACTTGTCGCTCTTTAAACAAGTCGTTCCTGCTACAGATGGGCGGAGCGTAGTGATTGGCGCGGGTTGTAAGTGGATAGATGTATACTCGGAACTCGAGAAAGAGGGTCTCGCGGTCGCTGGTGGGAGGAATTCTGCTGTTGGTGTGTCTGGTCTCACGCTCGGCGGTGGGCTCTCGTTCTTCTCGCCGCAATACGGGTTTGTGTGCAGCAACGTCCTTGAATACGAGGTCGTTTTAGCAGACGGAAGGATCGTAACTGCCTCGGAGTACGATAAACCTGATCTTTGGCGTGCACTCAAAGGCGGAGGAAACAACTTTGGCGTCGTGACAAGTTTCACGGTCCGTAGTTTCGCTGCGAAGAACGTGTGGAGCGGTTTCATCTATCTCCTCCCATGGAAAGCCCCTGCTGTGCTCACAGCGTTCCATGACATCGTCTCGAAAACACTGGCTGGTGAGCTAGACCAACGCTTCGACCCCTACGCCGCGGGCCCGTTGGCATGCTTCACGTACCTCCAATCCGTCGGCATCCAAGCAATCTCTGTGCACCTCGTTCACACCGCGCCAGACACGAAAGAAAGAGGCTGGCCGGAATGTTGGCGTAGCTCGGGATTCCATAAGATTGGGCGTGTGTGGAGTACGTTCAAGATCCGCAGTTTAGTTGGTGCAACAGACGAACTCGGTGTTCTGAACCCGCCCGGACGACGACAGGAGTTTGCGACTACGACGATCAAGAATGACAAGCTGACGCTGGAGGCGGCGCATAAAGCGTATCGTGATGCGATACCGAAGATCAAGAAACATGGTATCAAGGGCATGAATTGGACGCTTGTCCTTCAACCTTATTTACCTTCTTGGGCGCGGAAGGGCGATGCGAACCCGCTAGGTCTTGATGAGGGGTCTGATGAGCCGCTCATCAATGTACAGTTCACAGTGAACTGGGCGTTAGAACAGCATGATGAGGTAGTGAGGGCTATCACTAGAGAGGCGATCGAGCAGATTGATGCTTTTGCCACTGAGCACGGGACGAGTCATCGGTATCGCTATTTGAACTACTGTGCGGCGTGGCAAAAGCCATTCGAGAGCTACGGAGAGGAGAATTTGAGCTTCTTGAAGGGCGTTAGTGGAGACGTTGATCCCGAGGGGTTATTCCAGCGTGGTTGTGGAGGTAGTTTCAAGTTAGGGTAGTGAGATTATCTCGCCTCATCGTCACGTCTCTTGAAAAGTGGGCAGGTGGTTCAGAACAATATTAAAATACTACACGTGCTACAACGGCCGCAAAAAAAACCATCGTCTGTCATCAACCTCGTATACTCGTCAACGCCGTCCGCTCTGGGAACACTTCCTCTGAGCCGCTCATGCTACCCCATCCCCACATTATACATGTCTGAAACGCCATAACACCCGTATTGCAATCGGGCTCTCGCTACGCACTAAAGAAACTCGACTAGTCAAGGCCGGCGGCGATCGCGGCAAGCGCCCAGTCCATGAAACCGGCGTTGGTGTCAAGGATGTTGGTGTTGAATTCGGGCAGAGTGGGGTAGAAGTTGGTGCTGTACCCAAATTCCATGGTGAAGCCGTGGATCTTGTTCGCGCCAGACTTGGCGTATGTACGGCTAGCAGCGTAGTCGTCCGAGGCACCAGAAGTGGCGTAAAGACCGACGGACTGCATAGACGTGTAGTCACGGCCACCGACTGCTCGCATCGCAGCCGCCGTCTTGGCAGCAACGTTCTTGATGTTTGTCGCATCAGCCGAGGGAATGTACTCCTTGTACGTGGAGTCGCCAAGACGACCTCTCTTTCCATCATACGCGCTGTTGAGGAAGTTCATGGTAGTGCTGGTGCTCTGAAGCTCATCGTCACCCCAGTTGTACAGGATGTCGCCGGTAGCGGAGTGGATGTCCATGAACCACCTGATCTTTGGGAACGAGTCGTAGATGCTGACGTGGTTCTTGGTCTCGGGCTCCGATGCAGCAGCTGAACCGTAAAAAGCCTCTGAGCTTGGCGAGGTGGAAGCAGGGGATGTAGACGGGTCGAAGTACTTCTTGAAGTTCCACAGGAAGTCAAAGTTGCGGTTAATGTCTACACCGACGGAGGCACCGCTAGTGCCGGACCGTGTGTTGCGGTTCTTGCGCCATAGTGATCCTGAAGACTGGTCGTATGCGACACCGTCTGGGTTGACGAGCGGGAAGAAGACGATGCCGGCGGCAAGGACGCTTTTGACTTGAGCATTGGTGTATGATTTGCTACCGTACTTCAGACCGCTTCCAGCCTTGTTTGCGGCGAGGAGATCTGAGATCCAGTAGATGAGCTGATCAGGGCCTCCGCGTTCGCGTGCGTGCATTCCAGCGGAGAGATAAAGGCGGTACTTGGACTTGTCTGTGCCAGCACCAACGTATCCGGCAGTTTGCGTAGCGCCATTGAAGGTCTTGTATGGCAGAGTGACGGTGCTGATTCCGTATCCGTTGACGAGTCCCTTGATGGCAGAGTTGATCTCGGTGGGGTTCATGATGCTGCTCATGGTCGATCCCGTAGCCTTGGTGCCAAGACCAGACGGTGTGACTGAACCTCCGGACCAACGGTCGCCAGTGCCGATCGGTGCGGTGGCGGCCCTCTTGCTGAGGTCGCGACGGTGTAGGCTGATCTCTGCATGGTTCTCGTACTCTTTGGAAAGATACGCGATTTGGTCCTCGGTCAACAGGGCGTGGAGCTCGAAATGGCCTTCTTTCGATGGCACCGCCTTGGGTCTGCAGCCAAGATCGTATGTGCCATTGTTGACGATGTCGAGAAAGTGTGCTGGAGAAGGTGCGTTGAAATGAACAGGCAGAAGGCTACCGAGTACGGTAGTGCTCTGGAGTATCAGAGCTGCGGCAAGAGCGTACTTCATCTTGAGTCAGCTTGGGGTGAAGAATATGGGGAACGTTAGAATGAAGTTGCCGGTACTCTACAGTATGTCGTGAAACGAGGTTGTTTTTATACATTCCTTCCATTCTGGTGTAACGATCGACCTTCTCCTAATGGCCGGCAGGTGATACTCTAGCATAAACGTGTCGGAGGTGCCATGGTGTCGCCTGCCGCTGATTGGCCGACTTCGCGAATTACGCCGGGCGCTAACTTGATCTCCTTCTGCTTTCGTCCTGTCTCCGCTGAAACTCCAGATGCACCTGCCCGGGAGGATCAAGTAGATCCAGAGATGCATGGGCAGTGAGAGGACCTGCCCTGGGTGATGTGCAGCACTAGATAAGATAGATTAACTGGCCCTGAAAAGCAAGCCCTTTGGGGCAAAGTTTAAAGCTGGATGGCCGGACGCTATCGTGAAGCGGTGATTTCCATCTGGGCATTCCAGGGGAAGCAGGTGCCAGGACAAGACGGCTTCACCGAGCATACCTGCTGGCCCTGGAAGTGACGCTGTGTGGTTATCTCGGGTTGCGACATAGTGAGTGGCGTCCGTGAGTGACCGGTGTGCGCTCGCACATGACAACCACGAGGTATCGCGCAATCGTCGGAGTCCGAACACTGGTGGCTAAGGAAGGCTGCAACTCACAAACGTGCGACTTGCGGATACTCAAGCCTCGGTGGTGGCAGGCGGAAGATGCGGGTACCCGCCGCCAAGAGGGCCACGTGCCTGAGCCTAAGCAAGGGCAAATTGTCCGGCCGCTAAGTACGTCACCGTCACGCCAAACAGCTCAACATGCTACATGCGACACACGACATGCGTGACAGACTCTCTCATCTGCAGATATTGGTCGATTGATGAAGAACCCTGTACGACACGCCTGTGGCCCTGGTATGCTTTTTCCGCGTGTTGGCAAAAAGCAGCTCTGCTGGGAACAATCACACTGTCGCCACCCTATCATGCTTCAAGGATCCAAGATTGCACCACAACCCGGAACCCCCCGCCTCTCTATGTCGAACACGATCGCTTGTGAATCGCTTGTTGTCGATGACCAGCACAGCTTCTGCGTTATCCCCACACCACTCACACGTGCATCTGTCACAGATCAGACCGCATCAATCATGGGAGTAAGCGAATGGCGGTGATCAACCAACGATGCGACTCCAACACGCACGCGACTAACGCGCGACTCGGGAGGATTAGCTGACGCGAAGCCGCCCATCAATTCAGCTATACCTACGTAGCTAATTAGATTCTTTCTAGGTACCGTTGGCCGGTTGGTGATACTCCACTCGGTCGATCGTCGTGGTCAGCGTTCCGTTTGCTTCGAGTATGTTCTCCATTACATCGATCCTCAAATGAAATCCGTCCGGACCAGTTTTCTTACTTCCAATCGCGGACCCCGTCTGCGAGATATCAGAGTACCAATCAAGCTTCTGATCCCACACATTCGGAGTCGAAACCGTCAACTCGACGTCTTCCCAGCCGTTGATGACGTGCTCGCAATCATTGGAGAAGTTGGTATAGTTGACAGCGACACGCTTGATGAAGTCTGCTTGTGAAGGTGCCATGTCTCCGATGAGCTTCACTTTCGCAAACCCAGAGATCTTGCCATGGAGTGTGTAGTTGCCTGGCTTTAGTGTAAGCTGCGAAGGGATTTTGGCTCCTGATAGGAACGGCGTCGCCCACGGTATGCGACTAGGCACCTTGTAAACTGTGGCTGGACGCGTAGGCTTGCGATCGGCCATTCGAGCGAGCATGACACGATACTCACGCCCACCTTGGGCAGTGGACACTGGACACTGTAGCGGATTACTGCCACCACATGCTGGCGATGTGACGATGGCCTGCCAGTACACAATGCGCGTACTGTCCAAAGAGAAAGCTGGGTCCGCTCGGCCGTTCCAGTTCGGATCGTCAAAGCCTCCTTCGCTACCATCACCCTCCCCGTTGACCTGCTGCCCGTAGTAGGACTCACGATCCCCATAACGATCTATCAGGATTGGCTGGAAAAAGCGACGTGGGCCATTGTTGCGTGTAGATGCGGCTACAGCAACGGCAACGATATCGATGAGAGGCGGAATACCTCGCATACCGGACATCCACATTTGGCGTTTGCTGGCACGCGTATCCTGAGTGACGAACCACTCGTCATCGGCAGAGAAAGCAATAGGATCGGCGTAATCAGGGTGACTGGTCAGACGGCGAACAACCCCAGTCTCGATGTGAACCGAATACAGATCGATATTTGTCGACTCGGTCGGCGCACCAATGTAGAGTATCTCGTCGCCGGAACCACTGAAACCCCGCAGTTCGCCAATTGTGATTGAATCGGGGTGAAGCTTCAACTCCTCGCCATCAGCCGTTATGAAAGCTCCGCGCTTTGGATCCACGAGCAGGTCGACATCAACCAGGTCATAGCGAGGCGCACCAGGGCCCGACCCTGAGGGTCTCGCATTAAACTCCAGACGCCCGAAGTAGGAATACTGCCCAGCGTCGTTGGTAAACGAACTCCAGCCAATATGAACATCATCGGGGTGCACACGCAGCTCACGCGGACTGCCACCCGACCAATGAATCGGGTAGATGTGGATATTGTCAGGCGTGCATTCATCGCTAGCCAACTGCTCCCCGTTGCAGTCGAGGATGTTGTGGCCCCAAATTGCTTTGTCGCCGCTTCTGAAGACATGGGGATAGTCTCGTTGTGGGTCCAGTTCTCTTGCGTTCTCAGCCGGTACCCCACAAGTTAGGCACTTCCACGCGTCGCCATTGCTGAAGTTTGAGCTATCAGCTTTGATGAGGATTAGCTGGACTCCATCGTAGATGCTCGCCGGGTCGGGAGCCGTGGGAGCTCCAACGAAGGTCACCGTGACGATGACGTTTCGGCCGTCCGGAGTGAAGTCGCCAACCTGAAACTTTTCGGTGAGTCCTCTCGCGATGCACCCGGTCTGATTCGGACATGCGCCAGGGTCTTGGCTTGGAGAAACTGGAGGTAAAGGTAGTTCGAAGATTTCAAATCTTTCGGGCTTTGGAGGCTTCGGAATGTCTAGCGGGGTGTTGAGAACAGCTTGTTGATCGTCGTTACTGGCTAGCAGCTGGTGACTGCTTTGATACGGCAGGAGGGCGCTTGCGCCAAGAGCAGCTGCAGCTGTGTATAAGTGCAGCAATGCCATACTGCAAGCAATAGCCTTGGCCATGGTAACGGCTTAGGTAGATTGGATGAATCATGGTGGGTCATGCAGCAGTTGTTTTATAGATGATGCAGAGTGAAGCTTGCGGTAGCGCACCTCAATACGCCGGATACGCGATACGCGTACTCTGAGCTTTGACCCCCGCCACCTTCCCGAGGTCTTATAGGCCGCGCGTGCCCAGTTGGCCTCCGACCGCAACACCACGCCATGCAGCAACGGATCTGGAGAGGTACTCGGGAGTCTACTTTTACCAAAAAAAAAGAATCCTAGGTTGTTTTAAGGCGATGCAGCCCACTGGTTTATCCGCGGAGAGCTGCGCAGAACGAGGCCGACGCGACTGAGCACGCAAAGTAATCTGCCTGGACCTCATGTTCGCGAGCGCGGCAGCCTCTGCAAATCCGGCCATGGGGAGGATCGAGGTGTGGTAGTAGATTCGCTCCTGGGATCCAAAGCACGACGTCCTTTCCCCTCGTCATCCTAGTTGGACGCAAAGATACCGACATCCCTGGGAGACTTGTATGGCTTGAGCTTCAAATCATCGTCCGTACCAGCTTCCGGTCGCAGTACTCCTGCATCCAAGAACTGGACTATGAACTTGTCAACTTCGCAGTCGCGCATGGTCTTCAGTTCAGGCGCGCGTTTCCGGAAATAGTCTAGGTAAGCTGCTGCGTACGCTACCGTGGAGCTATTTGCTTTCTTGGTGAGCTCTCGTAAAGACAACAGCAGGTACGCAGGTGCGTTTGCTGCGTAAAGGAGCCCTGGTACGAAGTCGCTCTCTTCAGGAACCGCAAGCCTTGGTAATAAGGGATCAACCTCCATCGTCTGACGATTTGTTGCCCTGAGTGCTGGCCAGTGGAAGTGAAGGAGCCGGGAGGAATATGGCGCAGTCACTTTAGGGAAGTGCAAGTATACTAGCGGGTCAAGGAGGATCCAATGTGCTATTCTCTTTCGGAAGCATCTTTGAAACGATAGCTAGTGGTATGGTGATGGGTGATGGTAGGTCGACGTGACTGCCGTTTGCATGTCTTGGCATTGTTGTGGTTGTTTACGAAGTCTCTTCGCCAGTGTCTCACTTAGCCACCCACACTACACAATACTCGAAAATTTCTCGTCTTCCCGAAACCCGCTTCTAATTCCCACCATGGCCTTCCCACGTCTACAGAAGTTGGTTGACGATGCAGCTGCACAGCTCGACGAAGAGCTACTAGCTGGACTGCCGTTCACGGTCAAACCTCCATCTCCAAGGCGACTTCTGAAGCTGATCGTGGATCACGCTGACGATCTGAACGTAAGCTCGTGTGATCTACCTGAACTCACAACATGCTAACGACTACAACTAGTTCCACGCCTGGGAATATCAACATTGCGCAGCTGCGGAGATGTTCTTTGGAGATTACACTGAGGCGCTTGTTGCCGGCGGTCACCTCAAGCTCGACCATAGGCCTGCTTCAGCTACTGGAGCTACGCCATCAATTGCTCCCACGCCAATAGCTACTCCTGATCAAACGATAGCTGTCACTCAGCGAGAAGCTTCTCGCGAAGCTTTAGTACTTCACTTACGGCGAAGAAAGGCTTCACGCAGCAACATGTGGGAAGCTCTTCAAGCCCTTGGACCTTTGGGAAATGCAAAGCTCAAGCTTTGCTATAGCTTCTTCCGAAGCGCACGTGGTTGTGTTCGAGGTAAGTCCTTCTAGATGAGTCATTTCTGTATCATGTGTTAACACACGATAGGACATATGTGCAACCTTTCGCACATCCACCCTACCGAGCTTCAATTCGCCGCCATGGAGCGATACAACCCAGCTTTAACTTCCTATCTGAAGCGAGCTTGTGAACTTCGGCCTCCGGAGTACACTAGCTGCTTCCCAAGCTACGCAGAGTGTGCCCGATATATTCCGGGATACGAGACTCCAATGCGGCGTCTCAGTGAGGCTTAATACCGTTGAGCTGATCGAGCTGATCCGCCACGTGAACGAAGAACAGCTTTCCCTCTTCTTGGAAACGGATGAGCGAGCTGCTCCTCTGGTCACGAAGCTCTTCGACAGCAACGACAAGGATCGGGCCGAGTTCGCGAGCTTACAGCGAACGCATGCCGCATTCCTCAAGCGGTATCAGGAAGCTCAAGCTGAGTTTTCGTTCGAGCTCCACGAGACAGTTCTTCAGCTTGAGAAGAACCGAGCTCTACATGCCCAGGACAAGCAGCTAAATCTTGAGCTGGAGTTGGAGAGGGAGGCAAAGCTTAGATGCAAGGAAGCTGCTGCGAGACATGTGGAGCTTTCGGCAAGTCGACGTGCTGCGCTTAGTAGCGCGTATGCGCAAGAGAGGTAAGTTTCTGTCGTATCAATTTTACTTGTACTAACTTCGTCTTACAGAATGCGCGGCGAGCTCCAGGCCAAGCTTGACCTTTCGATCGAGGCTGCCGCCATCTCCAAGGCTGCGCAAGATGTCGCCGCAGGTCACCGACGACCTTACTTCTGGCAAGGCTTCCTCCGCGGAGCCCAGTGGGACAACAAGCTGCAACCGCTTCGGCGCCTTGTTAGAGTACCAAGCTCGACTGTTTCTGCCACAACTTCTCGGCCTTCCGCGCCACTCTCCGACAAGCTTGAGTTTGTACGTGCCGAAGCTTTCCACGAAGCTGTGGTCCTGCCCTTCTCCCCCCCTTCGGAGGACGTCAAGCTTACACTACGGGAGCGAGCTACTCAGCTTTGGGAGCCTGTGCGCAAGACCGACGGCAAAGCTGCGAACTTGCCAGGTCGCTTCAAGGACAACAACAAGTCGGGAATGGCATATCGGCTAGCTGCACCTGCCGAGCTCAAGGCAGAGCATCCTTCCAAGGTCTACTTCGACCAATTTTGGTCTCACGCTGTAAGTTTCTTCCCTACATAACATGATGATTTCCGCTCACACTCTCAGCAAAAATAAGCTACTTCTCTTCACGTCTGCAGCTGCAGCTCTTGTCTCCTTCTCGCCTCGGTCATTCCAGCTAATGACCGTGTTTTCTCTTACGTCCATAGCCAAATCAATCTCATGATCAGTATCCTACTTGTGTGCTTGTGACGTGATACGTCTTGCAACATGACAGCTCATGCCTACTGCACAGCCACTGTTTCATATCGCAACGAATTGCTTGCCGCGATAGTATTGAGCCCCATCGCCGCGTTCTTATGACTGGGCGCCCGGGTTGACGGACCACTTCCTGCAGCATTGGAGATACATGTCGGCCAGGTCACATGATCACTGCAATCGCTGCGCCCGGGCGGGCTCTGGGTGACCTCCAATTAGCGTGGACTCTACGCCGCAACAGGGCCCGTGCACGTCGTTCATCCCGATCAGTTTTGCATATCGTCCAACGCTGAACCTTCAGCACCTTCACCTTTTCTGCAATCCTCCCTCATCAAGACTTCCAACGACAATAGAAGGTTACACGCGCCCTGGCCCCCCGTTCCCTCCAGCTGAGGTCGAAGACTGGCCGTATGGAGACGACATCCCAAATAACGAAGTCGAAGCCGACATGAGGGCTAACGAGCAGGCCGAAAGCTTCTGGGCTACATACTCAGACCCTGGCACGAGGAAGAAAAAGTACAAGGTCCGGTTCCGCGACACCCTCGCCAAGCATATCGCGCGGCTGGAAGAGATATGGGAAACTGTAGCTTCATACAACGCCGATAAGTTCTCGTACACGTCGCGAAAGTCAACAATGGATGCCAAACTGCGGGATCCCGAACTCCTTGTCTTATGGGAAGTGCTAATCGCCGCACAAGAGGCAAAAGACGAGAACGACGACACTATGGAACCGCTCCATAAGCTGGAGCAGAAGCTTCGTCGGATTGCACTGACTGGCATCCACGTGGGCAATCTCACCAAGAAGCACACCAAGTCTGAGAAGGCAGCTGGAGGACCTGACATTCGGAAGGCCGTGTACGCTTCATGATCCAAGGACAAAAAGCCCTTATATCGCACGAATACGGGGAAGCTAGTACGCGAGCAGGTTATAGTGTGGTTGCCGAACACGACAGAATACGCAGCTATGCGGAAGGCAGAATACCGATGGGGAGACATCAGGGTAAGTTCATTATAATGTCTATAGACATCAGTGTTCCCGGGTGTGCTAACCAATCATTGTCGCAGGGCGTACTGACGCTGTACGAGACCAAGCAGCTGACCATGACGGAGCTCCAACGGTTCACACTGAACTATGCGATGATAGACGCTGTTATCGCATGGATGCGGCAGCTTCTATCAGAACACGGCAACGCAGGTGAGAACACATCTCAGCGTACCTGAAAGCGGCGGGCCGACATTGAGGAGCGTTTAGCAGCTGTGCGCATGCCTTTTTTCTTCGTGCTGGCACTAATGGCAAGCTCGTTTTTATAAGCCTTCTGCCTCTGGGTTTAATTGGGGATGGAGTCATGAGTCGCTCTATGACTGTGAGCTACGGAACCATCATATCCTATTTAGTGAAACAGTACGTCTCTTTACTCTGTTTTCAGGGTTCGCGTGAGTGGCTTTGTGTGGTGATGTTGGCCGTGACTCAGAAGAGCAACGAGGCGAACCGCTGTTTTGGGTGGCGCTGCGCCCTTTTGCTGACTCCGACGTCGAAATAGTACCTTTAATGTTCGAGGCGTACTTTTCGCGCACCAATCATAACCCTCCGTCGAGAGCGCGTCTGAGCTCGCTTGTAACTGCGATACCGTAAGCGGCTGGCTGTTCAGGAAGTAGGCCGTCATCGTAGAGTGCGCGTTATGATCGCATACATGGATCGCAATCTAGTATAGTCTTAGAATGACAAGCGCATTCCAAGACTCACAGGAGCCGGTGTTCCTCCGCACACACATATAAAGTATTTCGTCCAGTCCAAAGTTGCATAAAGGATCGACCACCTGAACGACAGACCCTTATCAAATCCAACAAAGACTTCGCTTTTCCCGCAACAGCAACAACCCGATCCAAAGGTCACAAGAAGCTACTGCGATTGTCAAATCTTTCTCTCAACACCAATCATCGACCCACACGCTACCGCGTCATCTCAATGTCTACCGCTACCAACAAGGCCGAACAAGCCGTCTCTTACGCTGCCTTGATCCTCGCCGACGAAGGCATCGCTGCCACCCCCGAGAAGCTGCAAGCACTACTCAAAGCCGCAGGTATCGAGGACGTCGAGCCTATCTGGACCACGCTCTTCAGCAACGCTTCCAAGGATAAGAACGTCAAGGACATTATCCTCACCGCGACCACGGCCACACCAGCCGGTCGCGGTGACGCTTCCGATATCAAGGACGATGGAAAGACAACTGGAGAGGATGGAGATGACGAGAAGGACGGAGAGGAGGGTATCGATATCGACGCGGACTCGGATGATGGGTCTGCATTTGGGGATCTTTTTGGCTAGAGGGACATCGGAGATGGGAAGAATGGTACAGGGGAAAAGGAGCGATCAACACCGTCTTTCGGGATGGCCTGGGAGGCATGCGAGAGTTTTGAGATGCTACGTTAGTTGCGCAACAAACAAGAGGATCTTTCTGTCGCAAAAGCTGCTACCAGTCTGGTGTGCGTAACTGATCCTGACGCGCACAACGTGCGATATTCGGCTTGATCCGCACTCTTCAAGCTGAGGTGAATGCGACCTGCTGACACTCCGATGGCTTAACGCCGCAACGTGCATACAAGCTTCGGTCCTGGCCTTGCAGCACTACAACTGTAAGGGTGTAGAGTAATCATGTCGTATTCAAGGGCTGGCGAACGTGGCACTTCACTTGGCCAATATAGCTGGATGATGTGCAGAGACTTGCTAAGCTTCGAGTTTGAATGTGAAGTTACGCGCTTCCCTCTCGAAGTCGGCAATGCGCTCAGACCTGCTGCTGATCATAGGTCGAGCTGATTCATGTTCCCCGATGCCAGGACACCGGAACGAGTAGTAAGCACTCAACTTGAAAGCACTTGGCAACAGCCAGGGAGAATGTTCGGTGTATCGATGGCAGGCGGTCAATGCGAATCGTATGTTGTTTGTAAGAGATGCGAGTAAGTTCCGCGTCTGAACATTTATCCTAGGCCTTGCTGCAGTGCGACGTGATGTGGTTCTAGAGTCCCCGAGCTACGGCCGACCGAATATTAAGCTTTTGATTGCGACAACCCGCGTCCCCTGCTCGATCTGCAGCCATCTGAATCGGAACCCACGCCCAAGGATTTGGTGAGAACTCTCACCCCGCAAGTACTTGCTGACAGTCAGCTCGGGTCCGTACGTTTGGGTCAAGAAACCTAGAGTTGACGGGCCGCTACATCGGCTGTAGAAGGAAGGGTTCTGTTATACAATTGCGCCATGATGAGCTTGCTGGCTTCCAGGGTGATGAGCAAAAGTGTTGTGGTGTGTCGAAGTAGTGCCGCCGGCCTGTGCATAAGATGTGCACGCGATCGAGGAGCGCACTGTGAATCGCTTCGGCGCATTCCGAGACAGCAGGCTAAAGTAACATACGACTGGTAGGTAGCATCCGTAGTATTTTGACATCAAATAAAGCGCACAGGTTCTTTTCTGGATCGGTCGACCTTGAGGTCAAACACATCGGGTCGCTGATATCCACCAACTACATCATGATATTGTTTGCCCTCGATGCAGTCGTTAAGATTCATGTCGGCATACAGTATGTCTTCTTGATCTTGCAATGCGGATATATATTCTTTCTCCACGCCTTGGTAGGTGAAGCTAGGCAATGGCGCGCCGGTAGGATCCAGGAAGAAGGTCGCGGCGCGAGGCATGGCGTGCAGGGTCTCGGCTACCACATCCGCTTGACTTGCACCCTCGATGATCGTCTTGATGGCATCTTCACCAAGATGGCCTGAGCATGCCACACCGAAACATTTTGCTTCAAAGCAATGCGCTGCAGCACGGGTCTTGTTTGCGGCTAAGTTGTCGTAGTTTGTTCCACGCGCAGCGCTTGGACTCGACTGCTCATTGCTATCGTCGGTGGTTTGCTCGGCAGTTTGTGCTGTGTGACGCGAAGTTCTTGTCGGCCATATCGTCGGCCAAGTTGATATATGAATTTGCTCTGCTTGCGCGATCAAAGAGTACCTTGCAAGTGCATTAGTGCTTTCGCCACAGATTAACGCGCCGATACGCCCGTATTGCGTGTTAGCAACACGCAGCCCATAGCCGTCACCGCTACTCCATGTGAGCTTTTCGAAGAAAGTCGGGACCAGCTTTCGATGGTGAACTAGGACTTCGCCTTCGGTCCCAATGAAGATGTTCGAATTGTACAGGCAGCCGTTGCTGTGTCGCGACCTTTCGCTGAAGCCGATGCTCACTAGGATGTTGTTCGACCGAGCCGCTTCGCGCAACGCCTCCATTTCATCGCCATCAGCATAGATAGATTCTTGTACCATGCGCTGGAACAAGGAGTGGTTTTCAGTAGGGGGTCGTAGAGAACTCCAGATCGGAAACGCAGAGATGTAGGTTTCTGGAAAGACCACGAGGTTGGCCTTGTTAGATGCCGCTTGTCTGATGAAGGATAGGGCTTTATCTGTTGTTTTGCGTGCATTGAGAAAGACAGGTGATGCATGACAGGCCGCAACGCGTAAGCTGCTTGCCATGACGGACGGCTTCTTTTGTTTGTGCTCGTGTCTGTGAGTGAAGAAAGAGGACAGTGTTGATGGTACCTAGGCATTCAACCCCGCGTCTGCGGCGTGATTTCCCCGCACCTCTTGGAACCACGCAACCAGTTCATGTTGTCCTCACGAGCTTCTGTAAGCTCAGCAGTATTCAATAATTGAGCCTACTGCATCACTGGAGTGTTCCATGATCTCTGGTCCTCTCTCGGTCCCCGAAGCGGCTGTCACTACGCCAAGAGGAGGCATCGTTTCACGGACTGGTTTTACACAAAGCGTTGCCTTCGCGAAGCCCCCTAATTTCGCACACTCAGAAGAGACAGCTTCATCAGCCAAGCCATGGCTGACTTCCTATTGAGAGGCATCGAATGCGGTGCTTTGCAGGGAGCGAGCAAGGGAAGACGGAGATGCGACCTGGGCACGATCGGACTTGCCCGGTTCCCTAGCGGATGGTTCTGACACCCGCTCTTTCAGCTAGAGCTATGGAGTAAAACCGATACATAGCGTTGACCTGGAATGTTCGCGGTCGGTGGATAGAGACCAGATGTGAGCAGGAACCCGTGGCCCGGTGGACGAGAGCCTTGGCCGTTACGCGCTAACCCACTAGCGTATTCAGACTGTAAATTATCTGGGCCACTGTTCACTCCTTCATCGTTCCTCAGTATCATGTATAATCCACATACGTTTGTTCGCGCGAGAAAAAAGTTCTTGCAGTAGGCGGTTAAGGGGACGTGTGACTGTGCCGACATTGAAAGACCTGCATCACAGCCCACTGAAGTACAGGCGTAGCTTCGGAGCGGCGATCCGATGCGGTAGCACCGTAAGTACAACATCAATCGCAGAGAGGACCTAATTTCCTGAGATAACGAGCATTTTTCAGGAAGTCCGGTATGCACATGGCTCGATGCAGCAAGTGTGTACGATCGATGTTGTGACCTCGGGACAAGGACAGCAATTAGCCGCCTTGCCACAACGCCCGACCAGAGCACACATGACACATGATCTTGATCATCGTTACGTTGCCGTATTGATGAATTATCTCATTTTGATCTCAATATTTTCCATTTGAGGTTCGTCAGGGAGCAAAAAGTTGTAATAACTCAGTATAGTCGTAATCCTGACGGGGGGATAACGACGTTGGCTGCGTCATTTATTCAGCATTAATCGACGAGAGCATAGCCCGTCGCTATATCGCCATCGGTGACCGATGTAAGGCTTAGTGAGGCAGCGGAATCAAGGCGCTGCTTGCTTTGTCACCAACTCGAGAAGTTGGAATGCGTTTCAGCCTAGCTCGTGGGATAAGTGACGTTCCAGGTCCGGCAATGTGCCGAGCAACCTGGGAATCCCACGGCAGTGACCGAAGCCACCTTCCACGTTTCGAGCTGGTTCCGGTACCTCAATTTCAGGAACTGTGCAGCCATTATCAATCTACTGACCAATCAAGCTACCGCGACGGCACCGATTGATGCGAAATTCCGCAGTGGGTCACCCGCGTGCCTGGACTGACAATCCTGACATGAACCACATCGGTCCGATGCAGCCTCGGTGCCCTGTGCGTCCAATTCATGCTAAACAACAACCCAGTCGCGACCGCCTCTGGAGCGCTTGGCGACACAGCGGGACGGAGTGGTGCTCCACTTTAGACGTTTTGACAGGATTGTTTATCAGATGAAGGGACTTCACGGCCCTTCTCCGATGACGCAAATGGTTTCGAAACCCAAGTTGGCAAGTAGCGCCATGGAAGTCCAGTTTGGCACAGATGGTGTGCAGGCAAGGGTTAGATGGCATGCAAGATCTTGTGCCCAGAGTGACTTGCATGCCGAGTAGGCACAGCTCTGCCCGTCCCATGTCTCCCAGGCTTGACTGAGGAGGTATAAGAGTCTTGGGATCTTCCACTCAACCCATCTTTCACCCAACGTCGATCTTTCCTGCTATTAGATACCCCAACAGTACTCGCTCAAGATGCGTTACTCACTCCTTGCTTTCGCTACTTGCGCTCTGGCAGCACGCCCCTTCCTCAACGAGCCCGATACTGGTATCGACGACCAGTTGGCTGGATTCGTCGCTAATGACACCCTACCTCCTCTTACGTCTTTGGTCGGCCTGCCAGACTTCCAATGGGTCGGCCGCCAGCACATGAACACCTCCGCCTACACATACTACCGCAACGGAGCGGCTGGCGAATGGTCATACCGCAACAACCTCGAAGTCTTCTCGCGCTACCGATTGAGGCCCCGCGTCCTCCGCGACATCACCAACATCCAGGCTTCCATGCCCACAACTATCCTCGGCCACAACTTCTCAGCACCCTTCTTCATCTCCCCATGTGCGCGCGGTGGATATGCCAACGAGGATGGTGAGCTTGGCCTTGTTAAGGGTGCCGGCGAAGGCGACATCCTGTACATGACCTCGCTTTACTCGTCCAAGAGCTTGGAAGACATCTACGCTGCTCGCCCCAACGGCTCAGAGCAAGTCTTGTTCCAACAAGTCTACCTCGACGGTGACATGAACGACACCCAGGTGCTCTTCAAGAGGATTGAGGATCTCGGTGCGAAGGCTATTGTCCTGACGGTCGACTCTCCCGGTGATGGTGTCAGGCATCGTGCTGCCCGCTACGGTGTCGGTTCCGCAGACGTCAACCTGAGTCTTCTGACTTGGGATCTGTACCAACAGCTGTCCAACATGACCTCCCTGCCTATCATCCCCAAGGGTATCCAGACCGTCGAAGACGCTCGCGAGGCAGTCAAGCAGGGCGTAAAGGCCATCTTCCTCTCCAATCACGGCGGCCGTCAAACCGACACTTCGCCCTCTTCCCTTGAAGTCGCCCTAGAGATCTACAACGAGGACCCTGAGATCTTCCAACAGATCGAGGTCTACGCTGACGGAGGTATCCGCTACGGAACCGATGTTCTCAAGCTCCTCTCCCTCGGTGTAAAGGCTGTCGGTCTCGGAAGGCCCTTCATGTACGCCAACATCTACGGCGCTGAGGGTGTCGCAAGGGCGACAGAGATGCTCAAGTACGAGCTCATCAACGACGCGGCGAACATTGGTGTAACCGACCTCAAGAAGATCGGCCCAGAGTTCGTGAACTGGAAGACTCCCGCTGTAAGCTTCAGCGTATAGACGGTGACGTCACCAGTTCTTGCTGCGCAGGAGCTCGAAAATTCCCTTCTCTTCAACTAGATGTATATACTTTTAGCGAACAATTTATCAAGACTTTCTTCAACTTCAAATTGCCGTTACGTTCTGCACTACCATGATCGCGACTTCACAGCCTGCAAAAACCCATGGACTATGAGGCTTACTGCCGTCGCGACGGCTGGAAAGTGCAGCAAAGTAAACATAGTTTGTTCGATGGCATCGTCAGTAATGTCGCTACAGCTCTACACGCTTGAAGCGTCATGTAGGCTACTCTCTACGCATTCACGCGTTCAAAAAGCAAGCCCGTAGCCTCCAAGAGTCAAACACGCTAGTGTCTTAGCGTGTCGCGCGCCTTCCCGAGGCCCTGTCTCACGATTTTTGGTTCCATCTCAACCCTCATCGTCAGTCGCCTGCAATTATTGAGTAGAGAGTGTCAGACACTGTCCGATAGATCTTCGTGGTTTGCTCAGCGACGACAAGCGTAAAATTTTTGCGACACCACCATAGCCCGTTCACCATTCGCAGGCCCATTCGGACCCTTATCGCGCGCCTTATCGGCCATGTGTAGGGCGCATCTCAAGCAGTCCATTCCCATGAAAATGCGCTGCCTCCTTAGCCCTACATACGCGATGGCATACTCAATCGGACGTCGGTTAGGTAATGAAGACACTCGCGCTAGACATTGAAAGGCAGGTGTACGCCGGACGCGACAGCGTTCTACACTAACAATATTTCTTCGCGCTCTATTTATGTCTTCCACAATTAGGCCTCAACCTTGACGCAGTTCTCCTCACAACTCTAGAACAAACGAAGCCATCAGCATAGTATCTCGGATCTTTGCCGCTCTCGTCCCAGTCGATTTTCACAGAATTTAGCAGACTCAGCCAAGTCATGGTACATGCCACGGAGGATACGAATGCGAAGCCACAAGACGTGACAACACCCTTGACGCAGAGTACTGTTATCAAGGACGGATCGGATAGCTTCCCTAAGAATGACGTAGTCATCAGCTACCGAGGTGGCATCATCGAGAACAGACACAACGTACACGCAGCCATCGTTGACGCCTCTGGCAAACTACTCTACACAATTGGCGACTACCAAAGGATGACCCTTGCGCGATCATCAACGAAGCCCATTCAGACCCTTGCGATCTTGGAGACTGGAGCTGCGGAGAGATTCGATTACGATGACGCAGATGTAGCGCTCATGTGTGCTTCGCATAGTAGTGAACCTCGACATATCGAACGAGCACAAGCGATGCTGGAGAAGACGGGAGAGAAAGAGGAGGTTCTTACATGTGGTGGACACCCCGCTCAAAACGCTGCTGTCAATCGCGCGTGGATCAAAGAAGGTTTTACACCGACTGCTATCTACAATAATTGCTCTGGAAAACATGTCGGTATGGTAGCAGGTGCGGTGTGTCTGGGCGCTACAGCTCACGACTACTACCTACATGAGCATGCCATGCAGCAGCGCGTGTACCGAGCTGTTGAGGACGTAAGCGGGCTTACTAAGAAAGAGGTGCTATGGGCTGTCGACGGATGCAATCTTCCAACACCAGCGATGCCTCTTCCGAACCTCGCGCTCATGTTTGCCAGGCTTGCGGATGCCGCTGACCTTTCCGACGATCCCTCGAAAGAGACACTAGATCAGCGAACACAACATCTAGCTCGGATTCACAAGTGCATGGCCAGCTACCCTGGACTGGTTGCTGGCGAAAGTCGCTTCGACACAGCGCTTATGACGCCTTATAACGGACAAGTCGTTGGCAAGATCGGAGCAGATGCCTGTTATGCAGTAGCAGTTCGTGCTTCACCCCACGCTGATCTGGCTGGGATGAATCACGGCGCTATGGGAATTGCCGTCAAGGTTGAAGATGGCAACCTCGATATTTTGTATGCTGCCGTCATCGAGATACTGGAACAACTGAACATCGGTTCAAGCGAAGTGAGGCAGTCGTTGGACGGTTGGAGATATCCAAAGATTGTCAATACTGCAGGTGTTGTCACGGGCGGCTACGAGCATTGCTTCAAAGTACGAAGTGTGGTGTAATAATAATCTTACAGAACAGTATCAACGCATTTATTACCAATCCTCTATAGCCCTCTGAACCGAGCTGCCGCAACATACCGCCCATACAAACCGAGACAATGTGTTGACAACCCTTTTGGGTATCATGGATTGGACGGCGTGGCCAGGAGGCATTCCATGAGCCGCGTCGTGAAAGGGATCAGACCTAGAAGAAGCTCATCTAGCTCCATACCCAACTCTGACTCCATGCTCAACGTGGGAAAACTGGCCATCTTCAAAAGCATGGAACCCACCTCTTCACAGAATACGGGAAGCGTTGTGCTATCACACTCACCCAATGTTCGGATCTCTTCAAACTTCATGAAGTAAGGACGTCCCGCCTTCTTCTTCTCCACTGGCAGGGCTTTGAAGCCGGTTAATATGGCTTGGCCATCGCCGGAAAGACCAGTAGCCTCGCGGTACTCAACAAGTGTTCGCATGCATGCTAGCCATTTTTTCAGAGCTCCTTTGTACTTTTCGTACATGCTGCTTTCCAGTCCTTTCCTGAGCTCTTCTCTATATTTCACGACCATCATGCCGATGTGTTCCACAACCTTTTGCATTTCTGCAACTTCTTGGCGTCCGGGATTTTGTGATTTGAAAAGATCAAGGAGCTGGAATCCCAGCTCACGCCGATCATGAAGGAACTGGGCGTTCATACAGTTCTCCATCAAGCTGGTCCTATCTTTGACGGATGACTCACTGGCTTTCCCTGGGTTGCTGCCGATTTGGGATCTGCTTTGTTTACACTTGCTGTTCTCCAAAGCTGTGATCCCAGTACCCACACGCTTTTTTGCAGGTGTCACCACAGAGACACCGTGTGTGGTACGGATTTGTGACATGTCCTGTTGTGTGGAAGATGGGTTTCTCAGTGATCGGATCTTGGAGGCTGGGACATTGGGATACTCTTTGGATTTGGAACTGTTTGAATCGCCAGTCGGAGAAAAGCGAGCGAGCTCATCCGCACTGGTATCAGGCGATGGCGACATGCTGCGGATACGCCTGGAGTTACCGACGCGTACGGCGTCCATGAAGCTTGTTGGCGGTGTGGGATCCTCGGTTTCGGGCGCGGCGTCAGAGGCTTTTCCTTTGCGTCTGTCATCTTCGGCCTTACGACAGGCACGTTGGATGATATAGCCGAACACGTGTAGTCGGATCCTGGATCGCAGAATGTTAGTCCTCATTGTTCTGCTACTGAGCTGCTATGAACTGACTTGTTTCGATCATCAGGATCTCCATAGATGAGGTGTCTCGGATACCCGTTCTCGGCGAACTCTGAAGCGTTCTTGGATTTGGGAGCAGACTCGGCATCAAGGGCTTCACTGAGCGCCCCAGTGACATCAGGAGTAGTGAGGGACTCTGCTTCCACTCCGTCACTCCATATCTTAGGCCCAGCCCCTTCGAGACACTCGTTGACAGTTTCGTCCAGAGTGATGCGCTGGCTGACAAGTGCTTCGCGTATGGCGTTCCTTGACTTATAAAGCCGCGCAATTGTGTGAACCTTGTCGTTCGTGGCTATCCAGAATTTTCGAATTGTATCATTCGACTTGAATCCTGGTCGTCCTGGCTTTGTGGGGTCGGTGAACCCGTTTAGCAGCCCCAGGCGGGAAAGGTATGATGAAGCCTTGGTTGATCCTCTGGTGCATTCTTGAATCAGGGTTGAAAATTCTGGAGGCATAGCCAGGAACTGTGACGACAATCTATGGCTGTCAGCTTTTCGATTCGGTGAGACAAGACTTTCAACGCTTGCTTCTGTGGATCTGGACATACGCTCTATTTGCCAGATACTGTTTGAAACAATATCGTCGTCGTCGTCGCCACCTTCGGTATGTAAATCAGAGCAAGGAGAACAACGGTACAAGTCGTGCGTAGAAGGACAGTTGATAATCTCGAGTGAAGTACCATGAGACTGGCTTGCAAAAAGGGAGGACAGTCTATCAGTTATAACATGATGGTAATATCCCTTTACAGCTGTATCTTGTTCACCAAGACTGACCTGTGGCTTCGGCGACCAGGCGTAGAGCTACCACGGCGATTAAACGGGGAGGATTTTCGCTTGGCAGGGATTATTACATCCCATCGTACGACACGTATCCCCGGTCCGACTTGAGATATACATACTCAATGCCATATTCGCACTAGCGGTGGCTGCATTATGCATCGCTTTCTACTGCACGGATACTATCTCACGCTTACAAGTACGTAGTTTCGAGGATAACTAATTTTTCAACCTTCGAAGTGCCTCTTACAGGATGGGCACAAGCTCTAAAAGACCCCTGATATTAGCTTCACGAGAAAGCTCAGGTCATATTCCGGAGTTCGCTAGCTTCATCACGAGCAAGCTGCCACAGGTTTTGACCATACTGTCAGATATTCTGCTCTTATCTAGAATATGCAATTTCGGGGAACGTATCCTAGCGTAGAAACTCTTTGCGCGATCGGCAACGAGGAGGACCTTCATAGCGCTATTAAGGGTGAAAATACTGGTCAAAATGATGTTGAGCAGCAAGACATCATGGTAAGCTCTCCGATAGGCCAAGAGCTGGTCGGAGAGCGTCCTTCCAAGGTTCGCTAAAGTTACGTGGAAGCTATGGCCTGTCCCTTTCTAGGTCCCCTGTTTTGCACCGACGGAAAGGGCTGGGCTCGTGCTTCAGCAATTATACGTGCCTTATCGGGCGGGAGTAGCAAAGCCGTTGCCGCATTTCGTGCTTCCATAGGATTCTATGAGCTGTACGTCAGCCCTACCTTGAAGGCAATCATTGCATCCTTCGTGCAAGATCTGAGAGACCAATGCTTCGAGATAAGCTCACATCAAAGCGAGAATCTGGCGTCTTCATTAAGTCCACCTGACATCGGGAATAAAGAACTGCCCAGGCCGCCCAGATGCCGTTACCGATGACACCTACGTAGCGTAGGCAACAGTATCCACAAGCCTGAACCCCTGGGGAAGAAAAGAAAGCAAATTCTGCAGTTGGATTCAACGGGTGGCTGTGACAACGCCCATAGGCCGACTGGGGCCTTTTGGCTAGTCGAGCCGAGTGCATGCAGGTATGAGTCCGAATCACACGTTGACGAGTGATGGAAAATGTAAGGAAGTGATGAGCACGGCTACCGGTGAAGTTTTAGGAATCCTAGATGGCGTTTGCTCCCTGGCGTGGTAGTGTGCACGCACCTCATGTCACTTGGTAGCTGATACACAAACACCGCCGCTAACTCCATTCGGCCATAGAGCCAACCGCGCCGCATTGCTGATCCTGCCCAGCGATGACTGGCGACTCCTTTATTTCGGCAACGTACCGCCCCGTTTAATCTTACGTCTCGGTGGCGTACGCCACTGGAGCCGAAAAGAGATTAGGAGAATATGAGCCGGACTGCGTCTGTGGCGTCGCCTTAACCGACTTTCCGACACTTGAGGCTCCGATGCAGGGGTCGTATCTTCCGATCCTTGGTGTAAACCGGCCCGAGAGATAGTTCGTATATCTGTCAAAGTGTGGCGTTGCTTTGATTGGGTAGAAAGAATGGATTGAGAACATCTGCTTGCTTCTATCATGCCATCTACTGCCCATTTTCCAGCGAATAAGCAATTTCACAAGCTCCTGACCCGTACAAAACCCACGATGACACACAGGAAATAGGCGCGAAAGGCCTAATCGAACCCAAAAGCCTGGCGAGTCAACATACTGACTTCTCCGGTTCCAGGAGACTGATCTCGCGTTGCCTTGTCCAAAATCAACAACAAAATGCAGGCCATAAGAAAGAATGCCACAAGGAAGAGTTTGCGGACTGACCATACAATACATAACCATATCAGACTTGACCAAGAGAGTAAGAGAGCTGTCCATGTATGACCGGGTCCCGTGGAGACAGTGGGGGCTCCCGTAGGCTCAGCCGCTTGGTTTGCGTGTTCGATCTCTTGGGAAGGGCGCCCCCGTATCTTTACGCATGCACGCTGAAGTATCCAGCAAGATACCAGCGTTTTGATGCTGTGAGGAATTTTTTAGCTAGCTCTCAGACCCACTGTCACGATACTGACTTGTTGCGATTTTGATCATCTTTATACAAGAGGTAATCGGGACGAACATAGTCCTGGTTCAGTTCGTCGATGTCGTTGGCGCGTGGCTTGAAGCCACCATCGTGCTTCCATAACATGGGACCGTACTTCTTCATGAGTGGCTCCACGTTCGTATCGAGAAAGGTAGGTTGCGAACGTATTGCCTCACATAGTTTTTCCACGGAGAGATACGTGTCAGAGATTTGCTCCACAATCTCTTTAGTCGCTTTGTTGAGGTCGCCGGCTGTGCCCTCGTATCTGGGCCGTCCTCGTTTGGTTCCGCCTTTGTCGCCTACAGAGGGTTGTCGGAGTCCCAAAGGCTCGGTGTAATGGTGAACTCGGGCTGTTTTGGAAGTAGCTTCTAGTAGTCTTTCTAATGTTTCGGGTGGTTTGGGGGTCGCCATGTGAGGACCCGCACCGAGAGACAGCATTTGGAGCCAAAGCAGGTGGCGAGTAACGAAATTGGAAGGATGTCAGTCAAGATATCAGATAGGGGACGCGTTGCTTTTGGCGCCCGAAAGGGTCACATCTCCCAGTAAAGTACCCACGAATCCGTGAAGATCGCTTACCTGTCGGAGTTGTACGAGTCGGTAGAAATAGAGAGGTGCTGAGTCAAAGATGTTAGGCACGAGCTGGATTATGCAAGAAGAACTCAGCTTTGAGAGAGTAGATGATTTAAGTACGCAGACGAACCTTGAGCCCCCACTGTCCTCCCACAGCAACTCTCAGAACGAACAGCGTGGCTTAGAGACATATGCTATTCCGGGCTTGTCTCAGTGAAGTTGTTGTTCGAGCGAGACCCGGCTCGCTGCCACTGAAACATCCTGGCTTTTTACAAAGCTCATGGCCACGCATTTCGAGTGAGACATGCCAGGTGGGCAAATGGACTTTTTTTGGTGCCAAAAGGTTTGAGCCGAAAGCTGGTTCACTGTCTCTGATGCTTTTCTACGCTAGCTTGACCTCTTGACAGGCAGGAAAATGTGGTTAAATAGCGATGTCGGGTTTCTCTCGGTGTGTCCAGCAGTGGGATCATGGCTTGTGGTTTGCGTCGCTGGCAAGACAAACCAGTCGGTGTGACTGCGACCAGTGGGTCTCATTTGCCGACATCTTTAACGACACAGCGGCCCAGATTCCAGGAAATTCTGTCGTGAGGTCCTCCATATAGGCCAGTCTTGTGTTGTGGTATTTTGCGCAGGTCGGGTGAAGTGGAAGCCGCAAAAAGGGCACCTGCAGCGATGTTTAGCGCGAACGCGTGACGTCACGCACGATCACACGCCATGGAGGATGGTGGCTGAAAACAGAGCCTGAAGGCCTTCGCAACGGTATCATTATCAGAATTGTGAAGAGTAATATTGTGGAGTAAGTTAGGATAGTGTGGGAAGGTCACAATCATTGGGTTGTAGTCGATCGACTTCCTCCCACTTGCTACCTTTTCGCCGAAAGTGCCCAGCCGTCCTTCAAAACATCACTAAACGCCCGACCACCCTCTCAACGTCCACCCAGAGTAGCCAACAAACACAAACTTTTCTTAGGACCGCTTTTGCGCCACTCACCTCATTCAGAGCTGTCCAGCTTCTCTAACATCGCTAGCAGCTCATTCTGAATGTCCACCTCTTGCTTGACTTTGACCCTCTTCGACTCTGGTACAGCGCTCGCCGCGGTGGCCTCAGCGTTCCGATTAGAAGTGAAACCTGCATATACTGCAGCCATATCACCGGGAACAGGTCTGGGTCGCTTCCGCATGGCTGCTGCCGGGATATCGAAGTACGGTGAGCCCTGGATAGCCCTGTCGGTGATGCTCAGTGGCTTGATGTTACCGTCGATAGGACCAGGAATGTAGGGGCTGGGCTTGAGCATAGCCGGCATGGTACCGCTGAGCGAAATCTGGGTACTAGCCTCAAATCTCTTCGCCTGCGCTTCCTCTGCTGCTCTCTTCACGCGCCAGTCAGGGGTCTGTTGTCCTGATGAAGCTGGGCGACCACAGAACTCATATTCTGCTAGTTTGGAGCGACGAAGTGGACCCCTGGCAAATACAGTGGTAGAATTTTCGAGATATGCTGGCCGGCCACGATTTGGCCTGCTGGCTCTGATGTTGCCCAGGTTGTCAAAATCGTAGGGCCAGAATGTGCTGAGCTCCTTCGCGGTATATGCTTGGGATTTGTAGACTGCGTAGCAGGCTTTGTCGTCGAGGTATACGTACCTTGGAGGCTCCTTTCTGCCATAGATAATGGGACGTGGTACCTTTCCCATGTACATCTTCCAGGTCGGATGACCGCGGACTGTAGTCTTCGACCGCATAACGAAGGCCTTGTTGGAGTCACCATTGCCAACGCCATCGTGCCAAAGGATTCGCATTCGTTTGCCGTCGGAGACCATTGTATTTTCCCGGCCGGGGGTTGCTGCTGCGATATACCCAGGTTTGACCATGATGTATCCGTCTGGGTGTTATCTTACCTTACCGTACAGAGGGTAAATGTATGCCAGGCGAATACAAGGGGGTTTTCTAGGCAAAGAAAGGGGGACTTACCCCGGAATTGAATGATATGATCGTGATGAGTGAAAGAGAATCTCGACTAACATCAATGAGAGAGGATGAAGGAAACCTGACTGTAGAGAGGTGGATTATATAGAGCTCTACTGCTAGCGGCGATGACAGCCAGTAGCCACGTGGGATGCGAAACGTACGTTGAAGCCCACCGTGAATCCACTGCCACGAGGTGTAGGAAAGAGAAAAGATGGATGTTGATGGGGTGGCATGCGACGATATGTGAGCCTTCACCCAAACATCTCACAGCTATCGCAAAGTTTCTGTACACGAATCTACATCTTCAACGATCAGCGAGCAACAAGAAGACTTGGTATTAGCCTGTTTTAGTGGCGTATGCTGCTCTTCGTGGAGAATCAGTGCAACGATTGTGACAGATGCTCTGTAATTGATGTCGAATACTCGGGAACACTCTTCATGGTAGAAAATCACTACTGCTCAATATGAACATAATAAGATGACAACGGGTATACTTGAAGGGCGTTGTTCCTTGGCGGTATAGCTCAGATCCACGGACACTGCAGGAGCTCAGAGTTGTGTTGCGAGTGATTCTGGACGAAAAGAGTGTAATTGCAATCTTGCGGCATCTCGTCGATGGTCCGTGACGATGATGATGATGGTGCCGTCGAGTCGGACCTTCCTGGCGGATTGATGTCAACGATGTCGGCTCGGGCCAATCAAAGACGCCAAGAAAACGGTAGGTCATCCAGATCGAACTTCACGACCGCCACCACTCGCATCGCCAGACCCAACGCTCGCTGGACCCCCGAGCATCAATTGCGCGAGACAACACATATACAGCAGTCACGATGCTCGCACGACACGCACCTGCCTCATCGGCGCTCAGCGCGGCCGCCCACCGAACGCTGCCCGCGGCTTCGGCAGCTACTCGCCTTTCGGCCGCAGCCCCCCAGAACCGCACACAGAAGAGGACGCTCGCGACGGTCCAGGATGCGCCACCAAAGAGGACATACGGCGGCTTGAAGGACCAGGACAGGATCTTCCAGAACTTGTACGGACACCACGGTGCGGATCTGAAGAGCGCGCAGAAGTACGGTGATTGGCACAAGACGAAGGAGATCCTTCTCAAGGGTCACGAATGGGTGTGTAGAGGCAGATGTACAGGGCAAACGAATCAAGGCTGACGGGTATAGATCATCTCTGAGATCAAGGCTTCTGGTCTCCGTGGCCGAGGTGGTGCTGGTTTCCCCTCTGGTCTGAAATGGGTAGGCAACGTCAAGATCTGTTACCGCGATCTCTGCTAATGGTTGCAGTCATTCATGAACTTCAAGGACTGGGACAAGGATAGCAAGCCCCGCTACCTGGTCGTCAACGCCGACGAAGGTGAGCCCGGAACCTGCAAGGACCGCGAGATTATGCGCAAGGACCCCCACAAGCTCATCGAGGGCTGCCTCGTCGCTGGCCGTGCCATGAACGCTACCGCCGCCTACATCTACATCCGAGGAGAATTCTACCACGAAGCCACCGTACTCCAGCGCGCCATCCAGGAGGCATACCAAGCCGGTCTTATCGGCAAGAACGCCTGCGGTTCCGGATACGACTTTGATGTCTACATCCACCGAGGAATGGGCGCCTACGTCTGTGGTGAAGAGACCTCCCTCATCGAGTCGCTAGAGGGCAAGCCCGGAAAGCCTCGCTTGAAGCCTCCGTTCCCCGCTGCTGTCGGTCTTTTCGGATGCCCTTCCACTGTCGCCAACGTCGAGACTATCGCTGTCGCACCCACAATTTGCCGACGAGGAGGCAGCTGGTTCGCCGGCTTCGGTCGTGAGCGCAACCAGGGTACTAAGCTATTCGCCATCTCCGGTCACGTCAACCACCCTTGCACAGTAGAGGAGGAGATGTCCATCCCTCTCCGCGAGCTCATCGACAAGCACTGCGGTGGTGTCCGTGGTGGCTGGGACAACCTGAAGGCCATCATTCCCGGTGGTTCTTCGACCCCCGTTCTGCCCAAGCACATCTGCGACGACCAACTGATGGACTTTGACGCGCTCAAGGACTCGCAGTCTGGTTTCGGTACCGCCGCTGTCATCGTCATGGATCAGTCCACAGATATCGTCCGCGCCATCACCCGTCTTGCCAAGTTCTACCACCACGAGTCCTGCGGGCAGTGCACACCATGCCGTGAGGGATCAAAGTGGACTCACCAGATCATGGACCGCTTCTCCAAGGGCCAGGGTCGTGAGCGTGAGATCGACATGCTCCAGGAGTTGACGAAGCAGGTCGAGGGTCACACCATCTGCGCGTTGGGCGAGGCCTTCGCATGGCCGCTCCAGGGTCTCATCAGGCATTTCAGGCCAGAGCTCGAGGCTAGAATGCAGGACTACGGATTGAAGAACGGTGGTCAGGCGCTGGCAGGTGGATGGGCACATGATTCCGCCAAGAAGGGCCTTCTCGTCTCGCCCGGCCAGTAGAGGAAGAGCTGGGAGATTTGTACTATGCATTTTCCGTGTGTTTGAATTTTGATTTCGGCGTGCAATTACTTTGAAGAGCTGAGCTGTAAATAGTTTCTCGGCGCAAATAAAGCAAGATTGAAATTGACTCGCATGACATCCTTTCTCGCAGCCATGACAGCAACGCCGGAAACGCCTTGCAAACTAAAGTAACAGTATTTCCCTTGCCCTCGTTCTTAGGTCCCCATGCAGATCTGGATAAACTCCTCCCTCGAAATCGCGTTATCGTTGTCCATGTCGAACTCCTCAATCATAGCCACCAGTTCATCATGCGACAGCGCCTCACCCAACTCCCTCGCAACACGTGTAAGATCCTGCAGGGTAATCGTGCCCTTCCCGCCCTCGTCAAATAGCTCAAAAGCCCTAAGAATCTCATCTCTCGGATCAC